TTCTGAAAATGTGACTCTGGCCACCTGTTCACGCTCCCTCCATCCCAGCTCCTGGAGAGGAAGGCCAGGGCCTTCTATCTGCGCCCGGCAAGGCATGGTCTGTGCCTCATCATCATGCACCACAGAGACCCCCGGCCTCACCTCCCACCACTTCCCTCCCCTGGGGGCTTTGGGTCCGTGCCCCCACTGGAGGTCGCCTTGCAGTCGCACTCCTGAGTTCTTTCCTGGAAACGCTCTCCACCTCGCTGACTGTGAACAGACCCTGGCACGCTTCGAGGCTCAGCATGTGTGCCTCCTCTCTTTCAAGGCTTTCCCCACCCCACCCCTCCATGCAGAGCATGTTCTCCCTCTTCTGCCTCCTGGCAGCTGCTTATCCTTCTCACCCTCATGGATGCTGTTGACTCCCTTCCCTCCCTCCTGTACTGACTAGCTTGGTCCCTTGTACGTAGGCAGCTGGAGTGTAGCGTGTGCTTTTCACATTGATTTAACCTTGTAACGTTGTGGAGAGAAAGTGAGATACACGCAAGAAAACTGAGGGTGACTTTGAAGGAATTGTAGTCAAAACCCAGGCGGAGGAATTCCTGTGATTCTCTAGTCCTTCTGGGATCTTGGCGGCAATGTTTGTGATCTGTGTATTACTTCTACTCAGAAGGGCAGTCCTGTTGAAGGTAAACATCAGGGAATTGCTGCCAGAAAGGGAGTGTTTTTAGTATGATAATGCTCTGAAGCTACTTGTAACTTGTCAGAAGTAAAATCAAAGCCGTTTGTGCCATTTTCGTTAATATTTTTTAACACCAGAGGTTTCTTCCTTAACTCTGTTTTTGGTTGTGATTAATTTAAGATGGGAATTCACAGTTTTTACCCCACCTCATTTTTTAGTACATGTTGAGCATCTCAAATCTAAGTCCGAAGTCCGAAATGCTCCAGATGAGAAACTTTTTGAGCACTGACGCGATGCTCAAAGGAAATTCTCATTGGAGCATTTTGGATTTCGGATCTGTGGATTTGAGGTGCTTGACCAGTAAGTATAATAGAGCTATTCCCAAGATCCGAAAAAAATCTGAAATCAGAAGCCCTTTCTGGTCCCAGGCATCTTGGAGACGGGATGCTCAACCCATACAGTCTTACAGAGGGGTGACATCTATCAGTCAAGCAAGAGTCATCCTGCAGTACCTTCCTTTATAATGAGGCTGACCATAGGGGCAGGCGCTGGATTTCCTTTTTCAGGTTCCTTCTTACAGCCTGGATTCTTACTACCCTATGCCCCCCTCACCCCTTTTTTTTGCGATGGAGTCTTGCTCTGCCACCCAGGCTGGAGTGCAGTGGCACCATTTTGGCTCACTGCAGCCTCTGCCTCCCAGGTTCTAGTGATTTTCCCACCTCAGCGTCCCTGGTAGCTGGGATTACAGGTGTGTGCCACCATGCCCTGCTAATTTTTGTATTTTTGGTAGAAATGGGGTTTTGATACATTGGTCAGGCTGGTCTCAAACTCCGGGCATCAAATGATCTGCCTGCCTTGGCCTCCCTAAGTGTTGGGATTACAGGTGTGAGCCACCGCACCCGGCCTTATTACCCTATATCCTATGGTTTCCTGTTCACATGCACCATGAGCTACTGGATTTCCTTTTTTTTTTTTTGAGACAGGGTCTTACTCTTACTCTGTTGCCCAGGCTGCTGGAGAGTGCAGTGGTGCAGTCACAGGTCACTGCAGCCTGCACCTCCTGGGCTCAGGTGGTCCTCCCATGTCAGCCTCCTGAGTAGCTGGAACTACAGGCATGTACCACCACACCTGGCTAATTTTTATATTTTTTGTAGAGACGGGGTTATGCTGTGTTGCCTAGGCTGGTCTCAAACTCCCAGGCTCAAGTGATCTGCACACCTGGGCCTCTGGATCGATTAGGTTTTAATATGAATTCTGCAACATCTTTAGTTTGGTAATCTTTGTGGATTGCTACAGAGTAAATTATTCACAAGGAATAATATTGAATAATTTAATTATTCACAAGGAATAATCTTGAAAGATCTCATGTGTTCTTTACTCATCTTCCCCCGGTGATAACATCTCGCAGAACTGCGTGCACTGTCACAGGATGCTGCCGTGCGTACAGTCGAGGCGCAGCATGTTTCCCAGGCGCCCAGGTGTCTCTCTTGTGGCCCTTTTACAGCCACACCTGCTTCCCTCCTGCCCCCACCCCTTCCTTAGCCCCTGGCAACCACTCATCTGTTTTCGGTTTCTAAAGTTTTGTCTTTTGAAGAATGTTTTGGACATGGAATCATACAGTACGTAACTGCTGAGGCTTTTTTTTTTTTTTTTTAGCTTAGCGTCATTCTCCCACAATCCATCCAGTTCCTCGCATGTGTCAATAGTTCATTCTTTTTTTTGCTGAGCAGTGTTCTCTGGTGTGGCCGCGGTGCAGTTCGTTTAGCCTCGCTCAGGAAGGACGTCTCTGAGTTGTTCCCAGTTTCTATTATGAGGAACGCTGCTGTGAATGTTTCTGTGTAGGGTTTTGTGTGAACATAAGCTCTCATTTCTCTGGGATAAATGCCCAGGAGCGCAGTTGTTGGGTTGTATACCGTTGCATGTGTAGGTTTTAAGAAGATACCTGTTTTCTGGAGTGGTTGTACCATTTTACATTCCTGCCAGTGATGTGTAAGGGATTCAGTTCTTCCACATCCTAACCAGCATTTGGTGGTGTCACTGTGTTTTATTTTAGCCATTCTGTTAGTCGTATAGTGATACTCCTTTGTGATTTTTTTTTTTTTTTTTTTTTTTTTTTTTTGAGACGGAGTCTCGCTCTGTAGCCCAGGCTAGAGTGCAGTGGCCGGATCTCAGCTCACTGCAAGCTCCGCCTCCCAGGTTCACGCCATTCTCCGGCCTCAGCCTCCCCAGTAGCTGGTACTACAGGCATCCGCCACCTCGCCCGGCTAGTTTTTGTATTTCTTAGTAGAGACGGGGTTTCACCGTGTTAGCCAGGATGGTCTCAATCTCCTGACCTTGTGATCCGCCCATCTTGGCCTCCCAAAGTGCTGGGATTACAGGCTTGAGCCACCGCGCCCGGCCAATGGCCCTTTTCTCTAATGAACATCTCTCGTGTGCTTATTTGCCATCTGTGTATCCTCTCAGGTGAGATACCACTTTCTGTCTCTTGCCCATTTTCTAATTGGACTTTTGTAAACTCTTGAGTTTTTTTTTTTTTTGATCATGGTAAAAGCACATGAAATTTACCATCTTAACCATTTTTAAATTTCAATTGTGTGTCAAAAGACAAAATTACAACAAATTTAGTGTATGTTAGTGTATGGATCTAAATTGGCTTTTTTGGTTCCAGAATCAGGCAACACCTCATTCTATAAAATAGAATTCTGTGAAATAGAGTGAGTGTTTTCATGAGCCCAGCAGAGGAAGGTGGCTTTGTAGACAGAAAAGGGGTGAGGGAAACAGGCACAGAGAACAGCAAGCAGATGGGTGGTTTCAGAGTGGCTTTCCTTGCAAAGGTTAACACAGAGGGAACTTCCTTATCACGCTGGCCCACACTGGCCCGTTTGGGGGATTCGCTGTTCTCTCTCTCCTGATTTCTTGGAAAGTCAGATAAACAGCTTACTTTTGGCTTGGTAGTGTGGAGGTTACCAAGAGGGACTCCATTTTGGTTTGGTGGGCTGGGCCTGGTGCAGGAGCTCAGTCCAAACCAGTGTTCTCCTGGTTCACTATACATATGTTGAGTTTTGAGAATTTTTTATGTATTCTAGGCACTAGTCCTTTGTCAGATACGTGGTTTGTAAATACCTCCTCCCATTTTGTAGTTTGTTTTTTCATCCTCTTAACGGGTTTTGTTTTGTTTTGTTTTGAGACGGAGTCTCGCTTTGTCACCTGGGCTGGAGTGCAGTGGCTAACTACAAGCTCCACCTCCCGGGTTCACGCCATTCTCCTGCCTCAGCCTCCCGAGTAGCTGGGACTACAGGTGCCCACCACCACTCCCAGTTTATGTTTTTGTATTTTTAGTAGAGACGGGGTTTCACCGTGTCTATAGCCAGGATGGTCTTGATCTCCTGACCTTGTGATCTGCCCGCCTCAGCTTCCCAAAGTGCTGGGATTACAAGCGTGAGCTACTGCCCCTGGCCTTAACAGGGTCTTTTAGCTGATCAAATGTTTTTAACTTTGATGAAGTTCATTTTATCTATTTTTTCTCCTATGGATTGTGATTTTGGTGTCACATCCAAGAATTCTTTGCCTAGCCCAGGATCCCAAAGATTTTCTATCTTTTTTCCTAAAAGTTTTAGTTTTGTGTTTTACATTTAAGTCCCTGATCTTTGAGTTACTTTTTATACAAGGTGTGAGGTTTAGGTCAAGATTCATTGTTGTTATTGTTTTTGCCTATGGATGTGTAATTGCTCCAGTAACGTGTTGAAAAGACTGGCCTCCTTTCTTTTCCCCATTGCTTTTCCATCTCTGTTGAAAATCAATTGGTGTTTCCTGACAAAGGTGCAGATACTAAAAAATAAATCAGTTGGGTGTATTTGTTTGAGTCTGTTTCTGGGTTCTGTATTTTGTCCCATTGATCTGTATGTCAGTTACCCCTCTCCTAATACTAGACGATCTTGATTACTGTAGTTGTATAGTAAGCCTTAATGCTGGGGTGACTGATTCCTCCCAATTTATTCATCTTTTCAAAGTTGTTTTAGTTATTCTAGTTCCTTTGTCTTTCTATATAAATTTTAAAACAATCTCGTCTATAGTTACCAAAACATCTTGCTGGGGTTTTGTTAGGAATGATGTTAGTTATGGGGAGAATTGAGATCTTTACTAGGTTGAATCTTCCAATCCATGGACATCGAGTGTCTTTCTCTTCTTTAATGAAAGCTTCAGATGTGAAGACAGACAGTTGTGGCGCTGCCCGTTGCCGTGCACCGAGAGGTGCTGTTCCAGGGAGAACACGTTCAGCGGCAGGACATCAGGATGTGTCTTTTGCTCACTTCCGCTTTTTTTGTTTTTAAATTTATAGGCCTATGAAAGGAGGTTCCCTACGTGTCCTTTGATTCCGATGTTCGTGGGCAGTGACACTGTGAATGAATTCAAGAGTGAAGATGGGGCTATTCATGTCATTGAAAGGCGCTGCAAGCTGGATGTCGATGCACCCAGACTGCTGAAGAAGGTAACGGGCAGAAAGGGCGTCTTGGAGGGCACCTCCCGAAGACAACACGAAGTTACACTACAGCTTCTGTGCAATTGGATGTTACTAGTTAACACTTTTTCTCTTTTTTTTTTTTTTTTTTAAGATTGCAGGAGTTGATTATGTTTATTTTGTCCAGAAAAACTCACTGAATTCTCGGGAACGTACTTTGCACATTGAGGCTTATAATGAAACATTTTCCAATCGGGTCATCATTAACGAGCATTGCTGCTACACCGTGAGTAATCTGTCACTCCGTGGAAGACGTTCTGCTGACATGTGGCTTCTGAGGATTGTTTGATCACCATTTTAAACAGTGCATCTTTTTGTCTTAGAGGGTAGTTCTTCATTAGATGTTGTCACTTATTTCTCATGTGTAGGAGGAAGGGTACCAGGTATGGTCTCCTGCAGAGTAGATTATGTTGTTGTGGCAGTTAAGGCAGCTAAGTGATGCCTTGATTTGGTTTTGCTTTTGTTTTTTTGTTTTGTTTTGTTTTGTTTTTTGAGACACAGTCTCCCTCTGTCACCCAGGCTGGAGTGCAGTGGCATGATCTTGGCTCACGGCAACCTCTGCCTCCCAGGTTCAAGGGATTCTCCTGTCTCAGCCTCCCTAATAGCTGGGATTACAGGCACACGCCATCACGCCAGGCTGATTTTTGTATTTTTAGCAGAGAAGGGGTTTCACCGTGTTGGCCAGGCTGGTCTGGAACTTCTGACCTCACATGATCCACCCCTTGGCCTACTTTCTTTCTTTCTTTTCTTTCCTTTCTTTTCTTTTCTTTTTTTTCTTTTCTTTCTTCTCTTTCTTTCCTTTCTTTTTTTCTTTTTTAGATGGAGTTTCACTCTTGTCAGTCAGGCTGAAATGCAGTGGCACAGTCTCAGGTCACTTTAACCTCACCTTGCAGGTTCAAGTGATTCTCATTTGTCAGCCTCCCAAGTAGCTGGAATTACAGGTGCTTGCCACCACGCCTGGCTAATTTTTGTATTTTTAGTAGAGACAGGGTTTCACCGTGTTGGCCAGGTTGGTCTCCAACTCCTGACCTTGTGATCCGTCTGCCTCAGCCTCCCAAAGTGCTGGGATTACAGTCATGAGCCACCACGCCCAGCCTTAAATATTACTTTCATATGCCACTTCTTTTCTAGTCTCACTGTAATGTGTTAGAAATATCTAATGAAGTACCAAGATGTGTGCCTTTAAGATTAGTGCCGCGAGTGTTTATCTGTCTTAGTGTCTTCACTGCTTACCACCCTGTGTCAAGAACTTCTTTTATCGGAATTTTAGAATACTCTGCTGCCAGATTGCTGTATTTCTGCCCTTCTCCCCTGCAGTGTATCCTTAACACTGAATTCAAAGTGATCTATTTAAAGTGTGTCAGATCAAGTCACTTCTCTGGGCTCAAAACCCTGGAGTGTCTCCGCAGTTCACCCAGGGGAAGAGCCCAGAGTCCTTATGGTGGCTTGCAAGGGCCTGAGTTCTCTCCTGGTCACACCTTTCCTGTCCTCCTTGCCATGCGGTGGGCATCCCTCAGGGGCTTTGGCTCCAAGGTGCTCGCTGCCGTGCTGTGCTATTCCTCCCTACGTCTCTAGTCTCACCTCCTCCCATCTCGGCTCAGGTTACCCCTTCTTGGCCAGCCCCAGCCACCCATTTAATTCTGCAGCCCGACACCCCAACCCCCAGTCTTTATTTTTTTCCTTCAGAGATGGGATCTTGCCCTGTCACTCAGTCTGGAGTATAGTGGCACAATCACAGTTCACTGCAGCCTCCACCTTCCAGACTCAAGTGATCCTTCCTACCTCAGCCTCCCAAGTAGCTGGGACTATAGGCACATGCCACCACACCTGGCTAATTTTTAAATTTCTTTGTAGAGATGAGGTCTTGCCCTGTTGCCCAGGCTGGGCTCAAACTCCTGGACTGAAGCCATCCTCTCACCTTGGCCTCCCAAAGTGTTGGGATTACAGGTGTGAGCCATCATGCCTGACCCCTATCCCTGGTTCTTTCAGCCTGCTTCAAGGTTTCTTTTTTCCATAGCACTTACTTATCTTTAATTTTCTTACATACTGTGTTTCTGGCTGATTGTCTCCTCTGTTAGACTCTGTTGAAAGCTTCCAAGGCCAGTACCTTTTTGTTCATGATGGAGAAGACTATTGAGTGAGTATGTTGAATGAATGAAGCAAGAATGAAAATGAAGCTCTCCTTTTTTTTTTTTTTTTTTTTTTTGAGACAGAGTCTCGCTCTGTCGCCCAGGCTGGAGTGCAGTGACGCGATCTCGGTTCACTGCAAGCTCCGCCTCCTGGGTTCACACCATTCTCCTGCCTCAGCCTCCTGAGTAGCTGGACTACAGGCGCCCGCCACCTTGCCCGGCTAGTTTTTGTATTTTTAGTAGAGATAGGATTTCACTGTGTTAGCCAGGATGGTCTCGATCTCCTGACCTCGTGATCCGCCCACCTCAGCCTCCCAAAGTGCTGGGATTATAGGTGTGAGCCACCGCACCTGGCCGAAGCTCTCTTTTTATAGTCATCTTTGAAGTGTTTTTGAACAATTATTTGGATCTCTTCATGATTTCGAATGTTGGTCCTGATTTTGAACATGATTTTGGCATTTTTTCCATCTGCTGTCTTTGTGATAGTAGCATTATTAGTAAAGTAAGTGTTTCTTCTGGTTCCTGGTTAAACTGAGGAGCAGACAAATGATGTTCTGTTGTCAGCTCAGTCAGTGAGATGATGTTCTGTTGTCAGTTCAGTCAGTGAGAGTGCTTTCTCTTTATCTGCAGGTTCACCCTGAAAATGAAGACTGGACCTGTTTTGAACAGTCTGCAAGTTTAGATATTAAATCTTTCTTTGGTTTTGAAAGTACTGTGGAAAAAATTGCAATGAAACAATATACCAGCAACATTAAAAAAGTGAGTGTATCTTGGGATTTTGTGGCAGAGGGTGGGCAGGAGTCTCTGAGATGACCCGTCTTTTTGGAAGGCTGGGGATGGGTTTAGCGAAGGATTTGCAGCATTTCTTGGGTGGAAGACGCTGTGATCCCTACCCCCGCCTCATCTTTAGGTATAGGGGTTAAGGTGGTGCTGGTTGCTGATGGGGGAAGGAGGTGCCTGTCGCTCACGCTATGACACTGTCTGCCTGGAGTTGCTGAGAGAGGTAGAAGTTGGGGAGAGGCAGCAGCAGCTGGCACACAGCACCCAGGCCTTGCAGCAGGATCGGGAGGAGGCCTGGGGGCCTGGGGAGGTGCTTGCCAGGCAGGCTGCCCCCCTTGGATTGTCAGTTCTTCCACGGAAGACCTTCCTTTCTCGTTTTTGTGTTGTTGCTCATCAGCTGTTATGGAATTGTGGTTTTGAAATCTATCCATGTGGGATTATGGAGTGGTTTTTGAAGGCTCATTTTCAGGGTACTGCGTTGAAAAGAATTGAAATTGAGACAGAAATCATATATTGAGTACAAGTACCATAAATCAGCATTTTAAAATAGTCATATAAAAATTCCATCTCTTTAGATATTAGTTCCTAAACCTTGGAAAAGAACAAGTAAAATAAACACAAAACCATTTGGCCTTTTTTTTTTTTTTTTTTTTAATTTGGTAGCAATTCAGTTTCATTGGTGTTTAAAAAGCTTGTGAGGGACTGGGCGCACTGGCTCGTGCCTGTAGTCCCAGCACTTTGGGAGGCTGAGGTGGGCAGATTGCTTGAGCCCAGGAGTTCGAGACCAGCCTGGACAACATTTCGAAACCCCATATTTACAAAGAACACAAAAATTAGCCAGATGCGGTGGCACATACCTGTAATCCCAGCTACTGGGGAGGCTGAGGTAGGAGGATGGCTTGAGTCCAGGAGGTCAAGAGTACAGTGAGCTGTGATCATGCCACTGCGCTCCAGCCTGGGCCACAAAGCGAGACCCTGTCTCAAAAAAAAAGCTTTTGAGGCTCACCATCTTCTGTTGGCTAGAAAAAAAGAAAAATCTTGGGAGGGATGAATGATTTGAATATTGAATATATATTCACCTTTAAATTGCTTTTGTTTTAAAGGGAAAGGAAATCATTGAATACTACCTTCGCCAGTTAGAAGAAGAAGGCATAACCTTTGTGCCCCGTTGGACTCCGCCTTCCATCACGCCCTGTTCAGAGACATCTCTGTCATCCTGCAAGAAACAAGCAGCGTCCATGGCCGTCGTCATCCCAGATGCTGCCCTCAAGGAGGGGCTGAGTGGTGATGCCCTCAGCAGCCCCAGTGCACCTGAGCCCGTGGTGGGCACCCCTGACGGTGGGTCTGGCAGGGACTTCATCCCGAGAGCAAGGCTAGGGAAGTCAGCATGGCCGCTTTCTCTCTGTTCGCTCTGCCTGTTCCCGCTTCCTTGGAACATTAGATAACTCATAAAGAAAAGACCTGTCTCTCGTTTCTGGCCCTTGTCCTCTAACGTATGTAACACACTCATTCTACTTTCCATTAGATTTTTTGTTAATAGGTTGGAAGGGTTATATCAAGTTATTTTTATTCTTTTATAGATACCGGAAGGTGTTTGTTTGTTTAAGAAATGGGGTCTCACTGTGTTGCCCAGGATGGTCTTGAACTCCTGGGCTCAATCAGTCCTTCTGCCTTGGCCTCCCAAAGTGCTGGGATTATAGGTGTGAGCCACCACGCCTGGCCTAAGGAAGGAATTTGTTTGTTTATTTATTATTTATTTTTGAGACGGAGTCTTACTCTGTTGCTCAGGCTGGAGTGCAGTGGTGTGATCTTGGCTCACTGCAACCTCCACCTCCCAGGTTCAAGTGATTCTCCTGCCTCAGCCTCCCGAGTAGCTGGGACCACAGGCATGTGCCACCATGCCCGACTAATTTTTGTTTTTTGTTTTTTTTTTTGAGGTGGAGTCTTGCTCTGTCACTCAGGCTGGACTGCAATGGTGCGATCTGAGCTCAGTGCAACCTTTGCCTCCCGGGTCCAAGTGATTCGCCTGCCTCAGCCTCTTGAGTAGCTGGCATTTTAGGCATGCACCACTATGCCTGGCTAATTTTTATATTCCTAGTAGAGATGGGGTTTCACCATGTTGGCCAGGCTGGTCTTGAACTCCTGATCTCAGGTGATCTGCCCACCTCAGCCTCCTGAGTAGCTGGGATTACAGGCGTGAGCCACCAGATTTCTTACATTCTTGAACACAGTAGCTCTATTCAAAATAGATTTAGATTTCCTGGATTTTTTTTTTCATAAATTTTATATCTTGTGAGTCCTTTTTGTGTTATGTTCCTCTTGAAATTAAAACAGTCATTAATATCTCTTACAGTCACGAATAGTATTGTGATTTGGCAATAGAGGTAACTCAGTGGTAATCAGGGAAAGATAATTGAGTCAGAAAGTTGACCTGTGGTTTAGTCAGTGATTGATCTCAAAGCCTGTCCCTAGAGTCCTCTAGGGTATCTGGTTTACATCTGCCATCTCTGTGGTTTCATTTGCCTCTAAGACTCTAGGACCACACGTTAACTCCACTGAGCAGGAAGACTTTGGGAGCCTAAAGCTCCAGTGTTTTTGTTGTAAATAAATGTCACTTACATTCCAGACAAACTAGATGCCGACTACATCAAGAGATACCTGGGCGATTTGACTCCGCTGCAGGAGAGCTGCCTCATTAGACTTCGCCAGTGGCTCCAGGAGACCCACAAGGGCAAAGTGAGTGTCGGTACCATGCCCAGTGTGCAGGGCCAGAGCTACGTGAAATCATGGAATCTCTTCCTGCTCATGGTCACCAAGAGTAATATTCCCAACTTCCACAGCTGGGAAGCTTTCTTCCAGTTTAGAAGTCATTGAATTTGTGTCTCTGTGGAATCTAAGTCCTTCATAGCAAGTGATGATTCATGACTAACTACATTTTTCTAGACTTTACAGAGCAGGGTCTGGCTACAGACAGTGTCACATCACAAAGCAGCATGTGTTCCAAGTATTCATACGTTCAAATTTTCAGAAGGTGTAAAAAGAGTTCAGAGATTTATCAGAGATTAGAAATGTTTGAGCTTTAATTTTCAGGTTTTTGGTGAAATTTTAGCCTCATAAGGGTGTAGATTTTTATGGTAAGCCTTTTGTAGTGAGCAGAGCCTGGTATGTATCTAGCAAGTTATTGGCATTATTTAGTAAAGGAAAACTAGGCGTGACTTGTAGTCGGCCTGATCTCTAATTCTGTCAGCCTGGTTGCTACAGAACAAATAACTGAGTGCCGTTGAATACCAGTCATCAAGAAAACCGCTGCAGTAATGATGGTCACCATTTGTTGTCTACTTACTGTGTATGAGACACTGTTTTCAGGCCTTTATTCCGTCCTTCCAGCAGCTCTCTCTGGTGGTGTTTTTTCACTGGTTTTACACATGAGGAAACTGGGGCAGAGAGAAGTGAAGTAACCTGCCTGAGGTCTCACAGCCAGCGAGTGGTGGGGTCAGGATTTAAGCCCAGGCCATTTTGTTCCAGAACCTACATTCTTAACCACTTCCACGTAAGTGTGGTCCTTTCTGAGTGAAGATGATGCCACATCAGTAGGCCACATGCTTTTGAGTTATTTCCCAGGAGTTGGGGTCATGAGTAGCTCATGTTCCCACCCCCTTCTTGTTCTCCTGACGGACCAGCCTCTGAGTTGGTAAGCACATGGCCACGGAGGAAGACACTTAGTCCACGCGACACTCAGAACACGGCCTTGGTCTTGTTCTTCATTCAGGGAGGCCAACCTGTTGATTGACAGTAATGGAATCTGGAGAAGATTCCTATATGTTAGTCAGCAATACTGCCACACCATGAAAACCCAACATGCTTTTTTGTATTCTGACTTTTTCTGTGGTTTTTGTTTTTAATTATCTTAAGTCTTATGATCAGTCATAATTTTTAACTGTGTGTGTATCTCCTCTACTTTAATCTTTCTAATAAGTTGGCAAAAGCACCATTGCCAATCACATAGACACATGGTAGTTCTACAGTTTTATGTTTTTGAATTTTTTTTTTTTTTTATACAGAGTCTTGCTCCATCACCCAGGCTGGTGCAGTCTTGGGTCACTACAGCCTCTGCCTCCCAGGTTCAGGCTATTCTCCTGCTGAGGCTCAGCCTCTTGAGAGCTGGGATTAGCTCTGCCACCATTCCTGGCTAAGTTTTGTATTTTTAGTAGAGAACAGGGTTTCACCATATTGGCCAGGCTGGTCTCGAACTCCTGACCTCAAGTGATCCACCTGCCTTAACCTTCCAAAGTGCTGGGATTACAGGTGTGAGCCACTGGGCCCAGCCTCGAATGACTTTTTAAAGACAATGCTAAATTATGACTTAGTCTGACTTAAGTAGTAAAGAATTGAAAAGTGAAGTTTAACTTGCTACTATTTCTTGTCATACTGACTTTTAAAAGCATCTGACCTTATAGATTATCTATAAAATGTGAGAAGTGTTAAATATTCCTTATTTGATATTACACATAAACTACACTAAAATGCCTTTTAATAAGTAAAGGGAACCATTTTGGATACAGGAAATTCTAATTAGATTGGCATAGTTAAGGCCAGAAATATAAAGTAAATATTGCTGCTTTATCTTCAGCCTTTGCCTTTAAGAGGCAAATAAATAGAAAATACAGGTGAGTCTTGCTGGATTCTGAGGCAGTGAAGGGATTTCCTCGGTATTTAAATAGAGTCATATAGCCAGTTATGTAAACCCAGATATAAAACCAATCTCCAGTAGGTTTTAAGATGGCATTTACGATCTTTGTGAAAGTTGAACATTACTAGTGAAGTCTAATCATGTCTTTAGAAGGGGAAAGCAGTGTAGCATTACTGAATCAGAATTATTAAAATTCAAAAAAGTGAACATAGTCCTTTAACCACAAGCCAGCCTTAGTTAAATCAGGATTGCCCAACAAAAATATTCTGATGATCGTTCATGATCTGAATTCTTGTGTATGAGATCTATTAAATTATGATACACATTAAAAAGTTATGACATTTCTGTTTTCTAATAAGGCAGTGACCAATTACTACTCATTAGTAGCTTTTTTGAGATAAACTTTCAAGTCTGCCCTTTCTGTCTTCTTCTTCTTCTTTTTTTTTTTTTTTGAGATGGAGTTTCGCTCTTGTTCCCCAGGCTGAAGTGCAATGGTGTGATCTCATCTCACTGCATCCTCTGCCTCCCGGGTTCAAACGATTCTCCTGCTTCAGCCTCCCAAGTAGCTGGGACTACAGGTGTGCACCACCACACCCGGCTAGTTTTGTTCTTTTAGTAGAGACAGGGTTTCTCCATGTTGGTCAGGCTGGTCTTGAACTCCTGACCTCAAGTGATCCGCCTGCCTCGGCCTCCCAAAGTGCTGGGATTACGGGCATGAGCCACCACACCCGGCCAGTGAAGACCATTTTTGTTCCAGGGATTCTCCAAATACCCCACCAGTGTGTCCTCACTCCAGGTGATGCCTTTGTTCTTATTGGCATCTGTATATAAGAGAATCCGGCAGTCTGGCCTGTCTTCTGCCCAGAGAGACTGTGGAGATGTGGCCCAGTCTTGTGCTTGCTTCCCTTTTCCGTGGTGTGGCACTGGGCACCCTTCGGAACAAAAATCTTGCCTTTCTCAACATCATCCATGTTTAATTCTCTTTTGTTGCTGGCACTATGAAGGTTTCCATTCAGAAGCCAGGTGTCCTGCTCTCTCTTTATTCTGACTTTTTATTTAAATGCAGTATGTGTACAGAAAAGTGCACAGATCATAGTCATTCATAGATCCGTTCATAGAATTGAAGCATTTGATGTTTAGGGAATTATTTATGCCTTCGCTCTACTTTGCAGAAACTAAAATGAAATACCATAACGATTATTCAAACTGATAATGCTGATTTTCTCTAGAGCAGTAAGGGAGATTTTTCTGGTACCAGCTCATTTTAAATAGTATAATAATGCAGCTCACTGTTGATTAAAAGTGGGAGTTTTAGGCCAGACCTGGTAGCTCACGCCTGTAATCCCAACACTTTGGGAGGCCAAGGCAGGAGGATCGCTTGAGCTCAGAAGTTTGAGACCAGCCTGGGCAACGTGGGGAAACCACATCTCTACAAATACAAAACTTAGCTGGGTGTGGTGGCGTGTGCCTGTGGTCCCAGCTACTCAGGAGGCTGAGGTGGGAGGATTGCCTAAGCCCAGGAGTTGGTGGCTGCAGTGAGCTGAGATCGTGCCACAACACTCCAGTCTGGGTGACAGAATGAGAGACCCTGTCTGCAAAAGAAAAGTGGAAATTTTAGGGTCTTATTCCCTTAACAACTTTTTTTAGTGCAGTTAATGTGATCTCAGCTCACTGCAGCCTCCACCTCCCAGATTCAGGTGATCCTTCTGCCTCAGCCTCTGAGTAGCTGGGATTACAGGCATGCACCACCATGCCTGGTTGATTTTTGTAGTTTTGGTAGAGATGGGGTTTCACCATATTGGCCAGGCTGGTCTCGAACTCCTGAGCTCAAGTGATCCACCCACCTCGGCCTCCCAAAGTTCCCTTCACATCTGTTAACGTTGCTTAGAAACATCTTTTTCTCTCAATAGATTCCAAAAGATGAGCATATTCTTCGGTTTCTCCGTGCGCGGGATTTTAATATTGACAAAGCCAGAGAGATCATGTGTCAGTCTTTGACGTGGAGAAAGCAGCACCAGGTAGACTACATTCTTGAAACCTGGACCCCTCCTCAGGTCCTTCAGGATTACTACGCGGGAGGCTGGCATCATCACGACAAAGGTACCGGATGCAGTTGAAACTGTGTTTCCGTCATTGTCTTGATGTGTGGTTGAAGGTATCTTCCAAGGCCTCCTTCCCTGGAGTTGAGTGGGGCCCCTTGAGTGCATCGTTTCTCCTCACTCTGAGAATTTGGCACCTTCCCCAAGTTGAACAGACTGATACGCTTCCCCGCGGGCACACTCCCATCCCGCCCTGGGCAGGCAGGAAGGGCCTGGGACTGCTCTTTCCTCATGGATGCTCGTCATCCTTGGGCAAATGACTTGATTTCCTCGGTGCAGTACAGTTTGTTTTGACCTATTAAAAAGGCAGCAGTGCCTATGGCAGAGTGTTTTCAGTAGCGCAGTGTTAACAAAGGGACTTTTCAATGACCTAAACCCTATGAGAGCTTAAAAAGGTTCAGCCAGGTTTTCTACATCACAGCCGTGAGCACTTCAGTTCTGCTTTGGGAGTAAGACCTGGATGAAGGTGATGCACCTAAAATGAAGAGTGGTTTAAATGAGAACCGTGAAACACAGTTCCCCGAATGCCTTCCATACCCTGCCTTGCAGGAAGACCTCACTGTCAAAACTACGCTCTCTTTCCTGAGCCAAAGTTTGAGAGCTGGGCAGGGTGGAACTGGAAGCATCGGCGGGAGGGAAGCACTGTAGAACTGGCTTTTTCCCTCTAAGCAAGTCCTTTCAGAGGACTTGCTCAAAGCTCTGCTTTGTCTGGAATTACCAATTCATGTTTTGTATTTCTCCAGGTTAATTGTAACTTTATTAATTTTTACTGGAAACATAATATGTATATTTATATTATTCCACTTTGTTATAGGCCTGCCCGTAAAAGGTTAAAAAGTTTGTAGTCATTGACAAATGTGTCTTTTTTTTTTTTTTTGAAACAGAGTCTCGCTCTGTCGCCCAGGCTGGAATCCAGTGGCAAGGTCTCAGCTCACTGCAAGCTCCACCTTCCAGGTTCAAGCAGTTCTCCTGCCTCAGCCTCCTGAGTAACTGGGACTACAGGCATGCGCCACCATGCCCGGCTACTTTTTGTATTTTTAGTAGAGATGGGGTTTCACCGTATTGGCCAGGCTGATCTTGAACTCCTGACCTCATGATCTGCCCACCTCGGCCTCCCAAAGTGCAGGGATTACAGGCATGAGCCACTGTGCCTGGCCTCAACAAATGTGTCTTATTAAACGTTGGGAGAAACTTTCTGTAAATAGACCTTTCCATAAGATTTTGGAGCACATAAAAATGTTTTGCTTTAAGTAGACCAGGTCTAGAGCTAGATTCTCCTGGGAGATGAAGTTCACTAGGTGACAAATACAAGATAAATGTTACCCTCCAACCCTCCGTCCCATGTCAGCATGGCACTGCTGGTCCTCTGTTAACCACAGAAGACAAGTCTTGGTTCCTTTTCAGGAGCACGATCCGTCTGCATTCCTTCTGCTGCCCCTTTTGGGACAGTGCGGCAGGAGGCTGGGTAGTGCTGACTCCGGGGATACACTGTGGCCACCAAGATCTGTTTCCCTTTGTGTGGATGGCTCATGATGATAGGGCAGTATGGGACGAGTTAGGCTTCTCTCAGGCGGCACCCATTAGACCTCCAGGCTATAAAGAAGTAGAGCCAGGCCAGGTGCGATAGCTCACTCCTGTAATCCCAGCATTTTGGGAGGCCAAGGCAGGAGGATGGCTTGGGCCCAGGACCTCCAGACCAGTCTGGGCAACACAGTGAGATATTGTCTCTACTAAAAAAAAAATGGAGGCCAGGTGCGGTGGCTCACACCTGTAATCCCAGCACTTTGGGAGGCCGAAGCGGGTAGATCACCTGAGGTCAGGAGTTTAAGACCATCCTGGCCAGCATGGTGAAACCCCGTCTGTACTAAAGATAACAAAAATTAGCTGGGTGTGGTGGCACACGCCTGTAGTCCCAGCTACTTGGGAGGCTGAGGCAGGATAATTGCTTGAACCTGGGAGGCGGAGGTTGCAGTGAGCTGAGATCGTGCCAATGCACTCCAGTCTGGCAACAGAGCAAGACTTCGTCTCCAAAAAAAAAAAAAAGGAGGCCCAGCACGGTGGCTCATGGCTGTAATCCTAGCACTTTGGGAGGCCGGGGCGGGTGGATTGCCCAAGCTCAGGCGTTTGAGACCAGCCTGGGCAACACAGTGAAACCCCATCTCTAGTAAAATACAAAAAATTAGCCAGGCGTGGTGGCGTGCACCTGTAGTTCTAGCTACTTGGGAGGCTGAGGCAGGAGAATCGCTTGAACCCGGAGGCAGAGGTTGCAGTGAGCCAAGATCACACCACTGCCCTCCAGCTTGGGCAACAGAGAGACTCCGTCTCCAAAAAAAAAAAAAAAAAAAAAACAGTCGAGCCAACACAGGCTGCCTGGTGGGGTTTTAAGGATTTTTAGAATGTTCTCATTTATCTTGGTCCTTAGAGTGGGAATTGAAGGAAGCTGGCTTTTAAAAATCTTGCATTCAGTTTTTAGTAATCTGTGATATGAAAAAAAATGATTTTCTAAAAAAGAAAAATTTAAAAGTACTCTGTAGTCATAGAAGTGTCTGGATAGTTTGATGTTCCCTTGCTTTTGAAAATCAGAGCTCTTGGGCAGCCCCAGTTGTTCAAGGTGAACCCAGCTTATGGGCAGTGGTTCAGACTGAGCCCAGCATATAGGCAGCCCGAGCTGAGCTCCAGCCGGATTCCCCTCGTCCCAGCACAGCCTTCTATTTCCAGGACCCTGCGCAGCTACTCTGTCAGTTGGTTTTTGTTTTTCTCATTTACAACTTTTTGGGGTAAATATTGGACACACACCCCCCATCACACACATAAATCAGTTGCTGCTTCTGAGAATCAGAAAGATCTTCAAGTACTCCTAGAATATAGGCGAACACATTTCCCTGTTAAGGGTCTTAGAGTTGTATCCTCAGTTTCAACTGGGATGGTGCCGATAACTCATTCCTCCCCTCCTCTGCAGATGGGCGGCCCCTCTACGTGCTCAGGCTGGGGCAGATGGACACCAAAGGCTTGGTGAGAGCGCTCGGGGAGGAAGCCCTGCTGAGATACGTAAGTGCGCGGCTGCGAGACTCCAGGCCTCACTGTGGCGTCACTTTCTTTCTCTGCCAGTAGGATTGGGGTGTTAACCAACCTGTTAAAACAAACATGAATTGCTTTTGTAGTTAGAACTGAAAATACATTAATATCATCTTAAAATTTCAAAAGAAGACGCAGAAGTTATCACAGTGTCTCTCACAGTGGAAGCATCGCCACATGGAATTGCCCTCTCCTGGGACGCCACTCACAGCAGACCTCTTGATAGCTTTCTTTCCACTGGCCCTTAACGCGAGCTCTTGGCATCTTTCTCTAGACCGTCCTGAATGCCTGCTGACTCCAGCCAGGCCCCGCTCCTCTGCTGCTGCCATTGGCAGCGGTGCGTCCCCCTCGCAGAGAAGATGATGGTCCTTCAATTTGAAAACAAACAAACTAAAAAGGCACATTTATAACCCCATTATCCTGAAATATGCACTTTTGACTTTATTTTTTATTATGTTGAGATGGAGTTTCACTCTGGTTACCCAGGCTGGAGTGCAATGGTGTGATCTTGGCTCACTGCAACCTCCGCCTCCCGGGTTCAAGTGATTCTCCTATCTCAGCCTCCTGAGTAGCTGGGATTTCAGGTGCCCGCCACCATGCCCAGCTAATTTTTTTTGTATTTTTAGTGGAGACAGGGTTTCACCATGTTGGCCAGGCTGGTCTTGAACTCCTGACCTTAGGTGATCCCCCCGCCTCGGCCTCCCAAAGTGCTGGGATTACAGGCATGAGCTCCCCCTGCCTGGCCAGCTTTTTTTTTTTTTTTTTTTTTCAAAGAGACATGGTCTGACTCTGTTGCCGAGGCTGGGGTGCAGTGTCTATTCCTGGGTGTGATCACGACTCACTGCAGCTTCAAACTCCTGTCCTCAAGCGGTCCTCCCACCTCGGCCTCCTTAGTAGCTGGGACTACAAACACTACCACTGAGCCTGGCTCACTGTTGGTATTCCCTTGTGTATTGTGTTAGTCTGCCCCCACCGCCATGTGTGTTTATATATCCCCATATGCACACGATCACACATAAAAATGGGGATGGTCTTTATCTACAGGGGAAGGGTTTGTTAACCTAAAGCAAAGGATCGCTTGAGCCATGCCTTACGTCTGTTCTAAGGCTGCCTTTTCTCTTGGCTGGCACATGTGGTATCAGAGTGTTCCCACACTCACAGACGCTCATCTGCTGTTCCCCTGCGCTTGTTCTGAAGACAGAGCCCCAGAGCCAGGCCCCTGCTCCTCTGGGGATTCCTCTGCACCTCACTTTGGATAGTCGTTACCTTTGATTTGCCGCACACGACAGTGTTTGTTCTCTGTCAAGAGTAAAATATTTTTGTTGGTGGTGATGTGTTTAGTTAGCGCATGTGAATGTGTAAGAAAATCTGCATAGGTCACTTTTTTGGTTTACATACTTATCTGTAATACGCTGTTAGTGTCCCTCTTCCATAGCTGGACGGGGTAGTTTTAGTCTTAGACTAATCATGGACAATTTTCATGCCCTTTTGTATGTAGGTTCTCTCCATAAATGAAGAAGGGCTAAGGCGATGCGAAGAGAATACAAAAGTCTTCGGTCGGCCTATCAGGTAGATGTGGGATTTTGTTTTTCCTTTCAACTTACTGAGAAAACGCATTAAATATTTCTAGTTGATTTTTGGAATTAAAATCTGCTTATTATTTTCCAGGGTGCTCTAAAAGGTAGAAAAGAGGTGAACATGTAATATGCTAGTGACAAGGGACAGAACACTTAGGGTTTTTTGACCCCAGGCGTTGCTGTCACATCAGCCTGAGTGGGTTGGCCTGTCTGCTTAGTCTGTGCGGGCTGTGGGAGCCCAGGGCTGCAGGTCCTTTGCTTGTTTTTGCCTCCCCTCCCCACTCAGATGACTCTGTGTTCTTAAACCAAGCTTTAAGTTATAGTAAAGAGTTCTGAAAATGTTTAGTGATTCAAAGGTTGACATTGATAAGGGTGTAGATGGTTCGCTGGGATATAAGTTCCGTGAGAACAGGGATTTTGAGGGCCTTTTGCTGATTGCTGTATTCTCAGCTCCTGAGACAGCGCTTCTCTCTTTCTCTCTCTCTCTCTCTCTCTCTCTGTCTCTCTCTCTCTCTCTGTTGAAGCATAGCCCACTGCAGTTCAGACACAATATGTGTTAAAATACCAGCTGTGTGCCCTGTTGATGGCAGGTTAGTGGGGCGGTTTAGCACGTCAAGGACAGCACAGTGTGGCTTTGCTTGCCGGCTCACTGAGCATATCTGAGAGAGCTTTTCATGCATTATCAATCAGCCTTAATTGCAGTTTCAGGCCTTGGTCCTACCACACTGATCCTGTGTGTTTTGTATAAGTAGATATAAACAGAGTTCATAGCACTATAATTTTAAAAAACTGATTATGATGTATTTGGAAATAGCTATAAATGACCAAAAAGGAAAAAAAATAAGAAGACGTAGTTTGCTAAGTGTGCTGTCTGTCGAATGAAACACCTCTCTGCACAACCGCAGCTCGTGGACCTGCCTGGTGGACTTGGAAGGGCTGAACATGCGCCACCTGTGGAGACCTGGTGTGAAAGCCCTGCTGCGGATCATCGAGGTGGTGGAGGCCAACTACCCGGAGACACTGGGCCGCCTGCTCATCCTGCGGGCGCCCAGGGTGTTTCCTGTGCTCTGGACGCTGGTGCGTTGAGATGCTTTTTGCAGTAACTGTGAGCCATTTGGAAAGCAGACACGCATGCATTCATATATGTGTCTGTGACCTAAAAAAGCATGCAAAGCTATAAGATTTTTCAAATTAAGAGAGGGGAAAAACAAAATTTGAGTGTCCTAATGCCATGCAACTAGACTTTACAGAAGAAGTATATAAACTTGAATTTCCTCCCCCCACCCTCCCACTCAGAATACCACATTGTCATTTTAATCTTGGACACTCAGGCAGCAGAGAAATGTGACTGCATGGCCTTCTCCTCCTCACAGGTTAGTCCGTTCATTGATGACAACACCAGAAGGAAATTCCTCATTTATGCCGGAAATGACTACCAGGGTCCTGGAGGCCTGCTGGACTACATCGACAAAGAGATTATTCCAGATTTCCTGAGTGGAGAGTGCATGGTATGTCTTGAGGCGAGGAACTGCACATTTGGCCCCTTTTGCAGGTGGGAGAGGTCGGTGTTGATTTGCGCAAATGATTTTCAGAACTTCCAGTCATTTGGATGTTTTGTTTTTGTTTTGTTTCTTTTGGCCGCCATTTCTCTGATCCAGGGTTAAGTTAAAGAGAACCATTTAAGTAATTGTTGATACTGTACATTTCTTCATTATTAAATAAAAATGAGAATTTGTTGTAGAATATAATACAATTGTAGCTTGCTTTATTCACACGGCTTTGTGTGAATCAGATCTTTAAACCATTTTAGAGGAGCTGTCATATTTTTAAAAATGCTATTAAAAAATTGAATGTTCTCAAAATGTCCCACCTGCCCCTCCCCCTCCTTTTTTTTTTATGGAGACGGTGTCCGGCTCTGTCACCCAGGCTGGAGTGCAGTGGCACGATCACAGCTCACTGCAGCCTGACTTCGTGGGCTCAGGTGATCCTCCCACCTCAGTCACCCAAGTAGCTGGGACTATAGGCGTGCACCACCATACCTAGCTAATTTTTTGTAGAGACAAGAGTCTCACTATATTGCCCCAGGCTGGATGACTTTTTTTTGTTTTTTTGTTTTTTTTTTGAGATGGGGTCTCGCTCTGTTGCACAGGCTGGAGTGCAGTGGCGTGATCTCAGCTCACTGCAGCCTCTGCCTCCCAGATTCAAGCGATTCTTCAGCCTCAGCCTCTGAAGTAGCTGGGATTACAGACATGTGCCACTACCCATAGCTAATTTTTTTATTTTTAGTAGAGACTGGGTTTCACCATGTCAGCCAGGCTGGTCTCAAACTGCTGACCTCAAGTAATCCGCCCACCTCGGCCTCCCAAAGTGCTGGGATTACAGGCATGAGCCACCGCGCCTGGCCTGGATAACATCTTTAAAGTAAAAACACGAAGGGAAGTGGTTCTCAACGTATGTTTGGGGTTTTTAATACACTGAGTTGCTGGGTGACGAAGCAGAGGCCTTCTCTTCTTTACCCTGTATTCAGAGAAGCTCAGAACCTTGGGGTCCTTGTAGGCTTCTAGCCCATGGCGCACCGTTGTGCCATGGGAGCATTGCGGAAGCCAAAGCCTGTAGAAGTCCCAGTGACTTGTTCCATGGCACACTGTGGCGGCTGAACGCACAGGGGGTGAAGCTTCTTATCAGAAGGGCTCTCTAGTCATCCGTCATATACAGTTACCCGTTAGAGATGTGTACCCACTGGGTTTGACTCAGGTATTTAGCTAATGAATTGGACATTCGGGACTTTGGACTTTCTGAATGGTTCGAGAAATTTAGAAAACGAATTTAGCTTTCCCTTCATCAGTTCCACTTTAAGGAAATTACGGGCATCCTCACAGTGCAATGCAAAGAGCAAGTAAGTTACAGTAAAAGTTACAGGACCAGAATTTAGCAAGTGCCTGTGAGGTTAAACTGCAGGCTCAGGTTTGTAGAAACCTCTGAACTCCTTTCATATGAGCTAGCCGTCCCATGCTGTTGCTGTTCAATTATGACGCAAAGAATTGAGCCGGAGCACAAGGAGACCTGCCTCACCGCCAGTCGCACCTGTTTGTCACATGCCGACCTCCGTAGTGTGTTTGTAATGCCGAGCGTCTCTGTGGTTAATTGAGCTGTCTAAAAACTCGGGCCTTCTAAGACTTCTTCACCACCCTCCTGAGCTGCTATTCAGGCTGGTAGTTGAAAGGAGGTTGTTCACTTCTGCTCTCTGGTGGCTAGAGGTTACTAACCAGGGGTCAGTTTGGTATTTTTCCAACACGACATCGCTGCTTTGACACTTTGCAGGCTGAAGACTGAAGTGTTTTTCTATGTAGTTGCTTCCCAAGGCTAATAGAAAGGAGGACTTCGATTTTATGAACTTTACTGTGGAGTCATTGTATAAAGGTCAATTAGGAGATTTATGATATGTACAAATTCTAATTCAACTTGTTTCAGGCAAATTCAAAAGAAGTTCTTCATTAGTTTTTGGCTGGTGTTATAGACCAGTCATTTGACTTGAGACACAAAACATTATTCATTGATTCTATATCTTGACTATAATTTCCTACCATAAAAATGATGCCTGTGGCTATTGAGAGCAAAACTCTTTTCTTAAAGTAACACGCTTCCTTTATAGCGCATTATAAAGACGCTAGTGCTTCTGTGAGCCAGCTTCAGTAACTGGGGGCAGTGCCTCACGTGTGTTAGTAGGAATTCTATGCTACTTCAGCTTCAACTTGTTCCTGTTTATGCAAAGTAAAACACATGTATTTAAGTGGTTTTTAAAAACATATTGCTCAGCAGTGCAGAGTATTTTACGACCCTGCCAGTGTTTTCCGTTTTCTCAGCAACTTCCAGGAGTTAAGCGCAGGAGGATGGTGCTGGCTGGCGTGTCGGGGTTTCGTGGGGTTGGTTTGTGTTTGCACAGGTTTCACCACTGTGTTTCTGCTTCCAGTGCGAAGTGCCAGAGGGCGGACTGGTCCCCAAATCTCTGTACCGGACTGCGGAGGAGCTGGAGAACGAAGACCTCAAGCTCTGGACTGAGACCATCTACCAGTCTGCAAGTGTCTTCAAAGGAGCCCCGCACGAGGTAGGTCCTCCGCCTTCCTGCACCTGGGCGGGCCCTTCCTCAGCAGAGAGCCTGGCGTTCGCAGGGCTTCCTGGCAGCCTTTCTTTCAGAAAAGTCCACTTGTTTTCCTGCTCTTTGTCTTTAGGCTTTTGTTGACACTCGATACTTAGTTTCAGTAAATGTCAACATCGAAGAGCCGGTCTCTCTCAGAATAGAAACTAGCAGTGCTTGGTCAGAGTGCCTGGAAAGGAAATGGATCTCTTGACCTCCATTTTACTAAAGCCACCAAACGCAGAGATAGGAATAGCTAATCTTTCCTTGTTGCAGCACTTAACTCCTGAATTTAGTTTATTTCATGGTTATATTGAACAGGCTTCATTTGCTACTTTTTCTTTTCTTTTTTTTTTTTTTTCTTAAGACAGAGTTTCGCTCTGTCGACCAGGCTGAAGTGCAGTGGCTCGATCTTGGCTCACTGCAACCTCCGCCTCCCGGGTTCAAGCAATTCTCCTGCCTCAGCCTCCCAAGTAGCTGGGATTACAGACACCCGCCACCATGCCCGGCTGATTTTTGTATTTTTAGTAGAGGAGAGGTTTCACCATGTTGGCCAGGCTGGTCTCGAACGCCTGACCTCAGGTAATCCACCCACTTCGGTCTCCCAAAGTGCTGGGATTACAGGTGTGAGCCACTGTGCCTGGCCCATTTGCTACTTTTTCTTGACTGAATTTTGGTTGTTTATAGATATTTTGGGAATTTTCCTGTTTCTGTAAGTCTAATGGAGCAAGGAGCATGTTCCTGTATTCCTTTCTTGCTGTCACTTTCGGTAGAGAAGCCGGGGCATTCCGCGGTCCTGTGCACGCCGTCTGTCTGTCCTGTAGCGTCACGAGTGACCTGAAGCAGGAGGGGCCTGCACCGGAATCTCCCTTCTCAGCTAGGTCAAGGTTCGTGGCCCAGAGTTGTTGGAGAGGACGGTGACGCTCTGTGCAGAGCAGGTGTTCGGTGAGGATGTGGTGCTGGCTTGGGCAATGGTGCTGGTCAGGAGCTGACTACGGCCTGCTTCCTGCCGTGGTGGCGCCTGGGTCAGCCATCTGCCAGTGGCTTCTGCTGGGGTGTCTTCCTGAGCAGCTCACCTGGTGCTTGCAGGCAGGTGGATAAGGGAATGCTGTTGCCATGGTTTGAACGAGCAGAGACAGATTTGGTGTGCCTTACTTGTAGATACACACGCAGGGGAATCTCAGATTTCATAACGTCTTGAGGATTCTCTGTATTCGTTTCTTACCAGGAGGGCAGGCTCCAGGGGCCGAGTCCTTGTTCCTTGTTTGTCAGGCACTATTGCTCTTGTCCATGTTTCAAGAACTTGGGATGCAGTGTGTTTCATGTGAATCGGGCATCGTAAACATCCACATGGTAAAAACTTCACTTCTGCTTTGGCTATTAAATAAAGCACAGATCCGAGATGGCAACAAACCTAAAGGCAGGCTGAAGCAGAGGCCGCACTGTGAATGCAGGAAAGAGGTGCCGCCAGCACAGGGGGTTGAGGCCTCAGGATGGAGCTGCCTGGGGAGCCGCTTTGCTGAAGAGCAGGCTGTGCCACATAGTGCTGCCTGCTGTTCTTAGACAGGACTCTTGGACCTCACTGAATCTGCCGTGGAAGGACATTCCGAAGTGGCATTTCAGTGGTGAGGTGGCAGTGGCGGGATTGAAAGGGAGCCCGGCTTGTAGAGCAGCCACTTGCCGAAGGGCACGGCAGGCAGTGTGCAGTGGGCTGACGAGAGGGGCCGCCGGCCTGGCTCTGCTGCTTCCTTAGGTGGAGTTTTCAGTGAGGGCAGAACTCTGCACAGCTGATTTTAATTCTCACGTCCCTCCCTCACTAATCTTTGAAACTAACTTTGATCATTCCCTGTGGGGAAGCTCTGTCGGCGCTGTGTCTAAGTTCAGTTTTCGATTGGTTCTCAGCATCCAGGGGCTGACCGCCTCAACCCCACCTCTACCATGCCAGGGGCTCATCCCACTCACCCAGCCTCGCCACTGTTCTCCCGTGCGAGCCTCACACGGGAGGCCCGGTTCCGTGCCCCTGCTTCCCGCTCGCAGGGAACGCTGTCCTCCGGCTCCCCCGCCTGCTGTTTCTTTAGCTCTCACCTTCTCCAGGGCCTTCTGTTCTCTCCAGCCGAGGGCAATCCTCTGAACCACTCATGTGTGAGCTCACAGTGTTTGGTGTTACTAAGACCTGGCCTCTTAGAGTGTGTCTGAAGATGGTGTATGGGAGATCTTGGGCCTATAGGTGCAGGTCACAAAGAGCACAGAGCTTGGTGCATGACACGTAGCGGGATCCAGCAGTTGAATGGATGGTGGCGTGTGACTCTGGGAAAGGGATCCGTCCGTACACATTCAGCCTTTCCCTCCCCAGCTTCAGCACCTGCACGCCGGAGCCCCTGGGGGGGACGGTGCGCTGGCAGCACGTGGCCTGGTGCTCGTGGATCGTGGCCGCCTGACGCTGCCTCTTTTTCAGATTCTCATTCAGATCGTGGATGCCTCGTCAGTTATCACTTGGGATTTCGACGTGTGCAAAGGGGACATTGTCTTTAACATCTATCACTCCAAGAGGTCACCACAGCCAGCCAAAAAGGACTCCCTGGGAGCCCACAGCATCACCTCTCCAGGTGGGAACAACGTGCAGCTCATAGACAAAGTCTGGCAGCTGGGCCGCGACTACAGCATGGTGGAGTCGCCGCTGATCTGCAAAGAAGGAGAAAGCGTGCAGGTAAAACCACACACGGGCAGACCGCGCATCTGTGACTCCCTGCGGCTGCTGATTCTGTCTTGAGTAGGAGTCTTTGCTTCGCTCCCTGAGCAGCCCTGTGTAGCTTTTGAGGCACTGCCTGTGGAGGAGCAGCTCGCCTGGGGGAGCAGAGGGACTCAGAAGGCCAAGTGGGTCTCCCAGGAAAGAGTTCAGGCCTCGCAGTGGTTTTGGACAGAATCTGTGACTTTTCCCAAAAGCAGCGTGTGACAGGAAGGGAAGGCATCGCACGCACAGGCCCAGCTGGGCTTCAGAGGATTTTCCCCCCAGCCTCATTTCACCGGGTTGCATTTGTCTTTTTCAAAGGAAAATCACCCTAAATAGAAGTAAGAGGGACAAGTATTTAGAGAACTATTAACTCTCATTACCAAACCTCCTAATTTGTTTCAAATGCTTTCAGTTCCCTTTTCACATTGTGGCTGGTTATTTTGGGTGCCTATGCTCACAGTAGCCTTGGGGCGGGGGCGGGGGTTGCTTCTGGCCTTCATAATAGATGCATCATTTTGCTGCCTTTACAGTTTTCAGGGGTAAGCCTTGTCAGTGTTTCAGTGGTCTTAGAGGCAGAGTAAAAGAATCCTTTGTCCATTTTAAAAACAACAGCTAAGCTGTGTTACCACAGTCACGAATTTCAGAGAGAATGGAGAAGGAGCTTTCCGCGGACTGACGTCTCTCTCTAGGGTGACGCACCTTCAGCCCCGAACATGCTGGATGATTGGCAGCATGTCAGAGAAAGTGAGGCCGGGTCCAGGGAGGCTGTGCTGAGCCCGCCCTCCAGCATGAGCACCACCAGCCCACCAGGCTCCTGCCTCCATAGGTGGGGTGGGCTGGGGTGGCCTCGTGAGGGCCACGGACACGGAGCTTGTCCCTCTGGGCTTCCCAGCACCCGGGAGTGACTACACTCAGTAGAGGGAAGGACATTGTCAAACCTGCCGGTGAAGCAAAATAAGTTCTGAATCCCGTTGAGATAGTTCCTGTAGCTACATGAAATCCTAAAGACAGTCCCCCTTGGCGCTTGTCACAGCCTGTGGCGGGCCAGGGGTCGGAAGTGGGTTGCCCTCAGATGCCACTGCTCTACTTGTTCTAGGGTTCCCATGTGACCAGGTGGCCGGGCTTCTACATCCTGCAGTGGAAATTCCACAGCATGCCCGCGTGCGCTGCCAGCAGCCTGCCCCGGGTGGACGACGTGCTCGCATCCCTGCAGGTCTCTTCACACAAGTGTAAAGTGATGTACTACACCGAGGTGATCGGCTCGGAGGATTTCAGGTGCGGCCGCTCTCCCCACAGCAGGTGCTGCGGACAGCTGGGCGTGGTTGGAGGGAGGCTGCAGTCCCACGCTGTGTGCAGGATCAGCAGTGGCGTCGGGTTTCGGGGATGCTCGGGGGACCAGGAGGGAGTGGCTTGGGGGTCATTTGTTGGCACCGTCACTCCCTGCATGTCTGCAGAGGGAGAGTGTCAGAGACAGAGCCGACTTCGCCTTTGCTTTCGCTCACGCTGCCGTCTGTGTGCAGGCTGTGGGAAGCCGGCCCCCTGGGTGGGTTACTCAGGTCCATCCCCCGTTTGCAAGCACTGATGGGGTTGAGAAGTGAGCAGAGAGCAGGGTGGGCCACGAAGTCCAGCAGGCAGTGTGGGCAGGCGGGTGGTTGGCAGGGTGGTCCTCACGCCTCGCCCCTCCCTGTGCCATTACAGAGGTTCCATGACGAGCCTGGAGTCCAGCCACAGCGGCTTTTCCCAGCTGAGTGCCGCCACCACCTCCTCCAGCCAGTCCCACTCCAGCTCCATGATCTCCAGGTAGTGCACGCTGCCTGCACCTAGTGTGTGACGGCCGCCCCTCCTCGGACAGCCAGCTGCGCCTGCCCGCCCAGGGCGACATTGTACAGACTCCTCTCACCTCTAGATAGCAGATAGCTCTCAGATGGTAAATGTAGTCATTTGATCCCAAAACTACCTTGGCAGGTAGTTTTAACTCTGATCCTAACTTAACTCAATAGCCATAGATTTTGTATACGTTGTGCACAAAATCAAACCAGAGCACAAGGGCTCTCTCGAAAGAAAAGTAGTTTCTATACCAATTAAAGGATTGACGTGGTCTCAGATGTTGATGCAAAAAATTTTTCCAACGAACTCCACATTGTCCATTAGTGAATGAATTCCTGTGACACCGTCCAGAGATGGCCCCTCCTCACCCAGGACGGAAGCTGCCAGCTCGCTGCCCCCAAGCTGCCTTGCGGCCCCCACGCCTCCAGCCACAGTTGAGATGGTCTGTGGACTTAGGGCCAGCCCTTGAGGCCCTTTTCCTCTGAGGATTCAGAGGCCACCTGCGGAGCACCCTGCCCCAGGGCCAGACCCACCCACACCACCCACTGTCCTGAAGTGGGCTCTCGGGGACTCCTGGTGACTCTAGGAAAATGCTGCCATCGTTAAACGTGACCTTCTCTTTCGTCCTTTTCAAATCTCTTTGATACTTTTTAGAGCAGGATTTTTCTGTATGTGAACTTGGGTGGGGGGTTCTTTCCCTGTTTCCTTCCGCTCCGCCCTTCTCACCTGCAGTCAGTTCCCAGCCCGGTGCAGCCCATCTCCTCTGTGCCCTCTGGTGGCTCGTTGTCCTCAGCCGCTAGGAGGCCGTCTTGGAACCAGCAAGTCGCATTTGCCGCTTGACACTGTCCACGGGGTTTTAATAATAGCTAAGCAGCATCTCCCGCGTCCACTTCAGGGTGGCTTGTGGTGTGTAGGAGCCTTGCTTCTGTGTACATGGGAATTGCGGACTCATGCGTGTGTGTGCGTGCATGTACTGTGTGTGTGCATGTGTGCATGACGGTGGGGGTGCTGGGGGGACGGGGTGAGTAGAAACTTAGTTTGAGTAATGAAGGAGTCTTCATAGAAGCAAATCAGAATATGGGATTTGTTTGCCTTTTACATTTTCTGTTTAATTCCTGATTTTAAAGCCTGCTCTAGCTGGTACAGGCCCTTATTTTTTCAGCTTTTTATGGGAAAAGCAGGTTATTTGAGAATCTGTCCGGAAGTTGCATAGGGGATGGCCTCCACAATAAGGACATGGAACGTGTGTTTCTGTGTGCAGCAGAGGACGTGTTTGTCATGCCACACCCCACGCGGCTGTCACCTGTGTGCGTGGTAGGCATGGAAATCCTGGTTGTGCCGTCTCAGCTCCGCTCTGAAGGCACTGGGTGGGTGCTGCGTGACTGGAGAGCTGTGTGGAGGCTGTGTGCGCCCCGTGCAGGGATCAGGAGGGCAGGGGAGGGACCAAGCAGCCCTCTGGCCCGGCCGGGTCTGCCCTAGTGGCTGCCTGCACACTGTAGATGTCCTGGGGCCTCTGCTGTGATCGCCTGCGTTTGGACCACATTTGTGTGTTTGCTCTTAGAGATCGAGCTCCTCAGTGGTACCCGAAGCCTTGCTTCCAGAAAGCGCAGTAGGGTTAGTAGGTAGGGTTAGTAGGTAGGGTTAGTAGTGCATCTGTGCTGCTTCCACCCGGTGCTTCCTATTCCCAAATCACAAGGACCTGAAGATGGTCCCTGCTTTCTCTCTCTTTCTCTCTTTCTCTGTGTCTCAGATGGCGATTTTGCTGACAGCTGCCAAGAAAATGCTTCACTGAACAGTCCTCATGTGCCCAGAGATGTTTATAGAACTGTTTGAATTGCAGCCATCCCCTGCCCCCTCCCAGGCTGAAGATCTGTTCTTTTTAAGTTGATTCGGGAGTGGCATTCTTTTCTCCCCAAAGAGTTTAGTGCATCGTGAAGAGCTCAAAGCACATGACGGCACAAATGCTTACAGGGTTTCCTCCTGAGTAATCCAGGCTCACTCCCCTTGTAAGGGAATTCTGGGGCAGCTATGGTTTGAGGATGCAGTTGGCATCGTGTTGCTACTTTTAGTACCTTGCCACTCTTTTAAAACGCTGCTGTCATTTCCCGTTTCTTAGTACTAATGATTCTTTGATTTTCCCTCTATTACTTATGTCTTAATTCACTTTCCTTCCTAAATTTGTTATTTGCATATCAAATTCTGTAAATGTTTTGTAAACATATTACCTCACTTGGTAATACAATACTGATAGTCTTTAAAAGATTTTTTTATTGTTATCAATAATAAATGTGAACTGTTTAAAGAAAAGAATGTCTTTTTCTTATTGTGAAACACCAGTTTCCCTTGAATAGTTTGAAATTCTTAGGAGAATTTTAGAGATTGAAGAAAGAAGAGAGCTTCTGAAGCCAGAGCTTGTGTGGGATTGTTTCACAGGTGAGTGGCCCGTCCTCAGGTCACAGCCATATGTTTGCTGATGCAGAAGCGAACCCAGTGTTTGAAATCCTCGCTTCTGTAAGAAGACATGACATGGTTTTTCTTAAACGCAGCCAGATCAGACATCACTGTGATGGGGCGATCCCCGCTGTGATGTTTCTGTCGTGATAAAAAGGATTGCTTTCATCAGGCACCTCCAAGAAAATAAAATAGGCAGGTGTGGACCTTTAGAAGCCTGGGTTACCTTATCTCCACTCCCCTGCCAGTCAGTGGGTCTTCCGGTCGTAACTCAGCGGGCAGAGCAGGCTGCTGGCTTGGTGAAGCTCAGGGCAGACCAGAAGGCAGCTCAGGGCAGCGTGCCAAGGTGCAGAAGCCAGTTCCTCCCCAACTGGGAACTGCAGGATCATTGACTTTCCTAGTAGTCAGTCCTTGGTAGGACACAGCCAAGGGGTCTGGGTGGGAAGCAGGGGAGACCGAGGGTGCCCTGCACGTCCATACTGGGCCTGGGCTGTGAGTGTGTCCACAGGCAGGCAGGATCTTAGCTGTGCTGAAGTTTGATGACTCAGCCAACCTGCGATGGAAGGAAGGAAGAGGCCTTTTACCTGGATTCCCTTTATGTCCTCATATTTCTGTGTCTGTTGTCAAGTTGGACCTGCTGTTACCAAGCTTTTGGCTTGGCGATCCGGTTCTCAGGGTGGAAGCCAGCGGCAGCTTGGAAAGTCAGCGAGGGTTATAGGATGATATCCTCCAGCCCGTCTCCTGACCACCTTCAGAAAGGGCCACGCGGAAATGGAGTATCTTGAACAGCAGCGTGTTTATATTGGGCCACCAAACCATTAGTAATGCGTTTGTTCTTTGTTGTTGTTGTGTGTTTTTGTGTTTTTTTGTTTGTTTGTTTTGAAACAGAGTCTTGCTGTCACCCAGGATGGAGTGCAGTGGTACAGTCTCGGCTCACTGTAACCTCCATCTCTCAGGTTCAAGTGATTCTCCTGCCTCAGCCTCCTGAGTAGCTGGGGCTACAGGCATCCACCACCATGCCTGGCTAATTTTTGTATTTTTAGTAGAGATGGGTTTTTGCCATGTTGGCCAGGCTGGTCTCGAACTCCTGACCTCAAATGATCCACCCGCCTCGGCCTCCTAAAGTGCTGGGATTTCAGGCGTGAGCCACTGCACCCGGCCAATGTGATGATTCTTAAAATACATCATGTTTCCTTTAATACTCCATCTCTGCAGAGCTTTGGCAGAGCCCAAACCATGGGTTGTCTTCCAGTTCTTAAGTTGTGGTGGAGGCGTTCTTATTAATGTCATCATGAAACAAACCAGTTGGAATCAGTTTTACTTGAAAAGCGAAGGCCTTGGAAAGCCAGGGATTCTGGGAAGATGGTAGTACAACTAGACTGCAAAACCCAAAACCTGTAGACAACGGAATTGTCACTTTAAAATGGTTGAAATGGCGGCGTTTGTTACATGTTTTGTAGCCAATAATAGAGAAACCTATGGACATCATTTACAGCAAAACTAGGTGATAAAGTATCCCCATAAACCCCAAACTAGAGGCGTGTTGGGGTAAACCACCAATAGTTCCCAGAACTTCCAGACCCATAGGTTATCTGTGTCTGGAGGAGAACGCAGAGGATACACGCACAATGTCTGATGGATGGGAGAGCAGGAGAAGCCACGAGGCCCCATGAACCCCAGTGGGAGGCACATGAACCCCAGGGGAAGGCCAGTGTGTGCTCAGCAGGTGACACGGACCAACTGGGCTGCACCTGGAGCCTGGGGACATGGAGGCCGTTGGAGAGAGGATAGGGTTGAGGGGAGCAGACCAGGCCCTGCCTCTGGACTCCCTGGACTGACGTGCCAAGTCTCACTTCTGGAAGGAACCTCACAGTGAGGAAATAAAGCATGTTCCACCACTTGGAGTGAATCAAGTCAAGCAGGATGGGGACCAAGTCTGTGCAAGTACCTGGGAGGGTCATGAGGGCAGCCATGAAAGCAGATGGGACGTGGTGTTTTAAACGTTTCACAAAACAACAGAGAGGGAGCACTGCAAAATTAGAGCAGCTTTCTTGAAGCATACTTCATTCTGAATGTTTATGAAATACTTTTCCATAAAACTGAGCATCAGGAAAGTAGCAGAGTCAAACCTATAGAAGGCTCAGACTGGGGAGTAGAGTAACACTCCCACCAACAATGAAAGCAAGCCAGAAAGGCATGCCTGCAAAACAGACCAAAGAAAACACATTCAAAAACTATTTTTGTTTTATTTTTATTTTGTATTTTATTTTATTTTTTATTTTTTGAGACGGAGTCTTGCTGTGTCGCCCAGGCTGGATGCAGTGGCGTGATCTCCACTCACTACAACCACCGCCTCCTGGGTTCAAGCAGTTCTCCTGCCTCAGCCTCCCTAGTAGCTGGGACTACAGGCTTGCACCACCACTCCTGGCTAATTTTTGTATTTTTAGTACAGATGGGGTTTCACCATGTTGGCCAGGCTTGTCTCGAACTCCTGGCCTCACGTAATCACCCACTTCAGCCTCCCAAAGTGCTGGGATTACAGGCGTGAGCCACCGTGCTGGCCCATTTTTTATTTTGTTTTAAACACAAGGCTTGCTGTGTTGCCCAGACTGGTCTCAAACTCGGCTCAAGCAATCCTCTTGCCACGGCCTCCCAGTGTGCTGAGATTAAAGGCGTGATCCAACACACCCAGCTCAAAAATAATTTTTTAAATGAACTAAAAAGCATTAAATGATATGAAATGTGAAAAGCATAATCAGAGTCAGAAAAACTCAGAAATGAAGTGACAGAACTCAAGAAAGATTAGAAATGCAGGAATCCTTTCAGAAATTGAGACAAATTAGAGGGAACACAAAGTGAAAAAACGATGCCAAGTGAAAAATGAGGATGATTTTATAAATCAAAATAAAAGGATGGAAAGCCTTCAAAAGGGATGCTATTGAAAATAAGCAAACACATGGGTGCCATTGAAAGAACGAGGGCCTGAGAAGGACCAACACCAAGAATATTTTAGGAAAAGTGCTGGACTTAAAAAAAAAAAAAATCCTTGGGGCATCCTGGGAATCAAGTTTTTTTGAGGACTGAGCTTTCTGCCAGAAGAAAATGGATTAATTAAGACTTTTCAAGGAAAGAGTAAGCCAAAAATTTTATATCCAGCAAAACTGACTTCCAAGTATAAAGGGCACTGATACAGGCCAGGCACGTTGACTTGCCTGTAATCCCAGCACTTTGGGAGGCCGAGGCAGGCAGATCACCTGAGGTCAGGAGTTGGAGACCAGCCTGGCCAATGTGGTGAAACCCCCATCTCTACTAAAAATACAAAAAGTAGCCCAGAGTGGTGGTGGGTAGCTGGCCTGTAATCCCAGCTACTCGGGAGGCTGAGGCAGGAGAACTGCTTGAAGCCGGGAGGCTGAGGTTGTGGTGAGCCGAGGTTGCGCCATTGCACTCCAACCTGGGCGGCAAGAACGAAACTACATCTCAAAAAAAAAAAAAAAAAAAGTTGGCGCTGATAAAGCTATCAGTGTGCAGCAGCTTGGGCCTGCCACCTTTCCTTCCTGAGCTATCCAGCAACTGGGCTTCGGGTAGTGTCGGGGAGAGCCATGATGAGATCTGGCGGCGGGCTCAGGGTCCTGCTCATCTGTGCAGCCAAGACTAATGAGGGCAAGGGGACAGTGTGTAGTGGCTCCAACAATGTATTGATCACACAAAAGTTTTTGTTTGTTTTGAGACAGGGTCTTGTTCTCGTCCAGGCTGGAGTGCCATAGACCATTCATGGCTCACTGTGATCTCAACATCCTAAGCTCCAGCAATCCTCCAGCCTTAGCCTCCTGAGTAACTGGGACTACAGGCATGCACCACTGCACCCAGCTGATTATTGTATTTTTGGTAGAGAGGGGATTTCACCATGTTGCCCAAGTTGATCTCGAACTCCTGGCTCAAGCAATCCACCTGCCTTGGCCTCCCAAAGTGTTAGGATTACAGGTGAGCCACAATGCCTGGCCGGTTTTTTTTTTTTTTTTTTTTTTTTTTTTTGAGACGGTCTTGCTCTGTCACCCAGACTGTGCAGTGGCACAATCACGGCTCTCTACAGCTTCCAACTCAACCTCCTGGGCTCCCATGATCCTTCTGCCTCAGCTGCCCAAGTAGGACTGCAAGCATGTGCAACTACACTCAGCTAATTTATTTTTATTTTTGTAGAGATGAGGTCTTGCTGTGTTGCCTAGGTTGGTCTCGAACTCTTGGCCTTAAGCAATCCTGCCACGTTGGCCTCCCAAAGTGCTGGGATTACAGATTTGAGCCACCACACTTGGCCCGGGAAATTGTGTTTTAAAGTGGGAGGAGAATAGGGGGAACATTTGCAAACATCTGTTGTTTTAGTGGTTATATTAGTGGCAACATTAACATTGTTATGCTGAGTTTTTGTATGGTAACAAGTGAGTAATTAGGGGCTGTCCTCAGCCAGCTTTCCCCGGGGTCCTGTGTTGAAGGTTCTCTGTGTGGAAGATACAGCAGGGAGCAGTTAAGTAGAAGCCCTATAGTCGCCTACGCAGTGGCTCATGCCTGTAATCCCATAGCCGGGAGGCCAAGGTGGGCGGATCACCTGAGGTCAGGAGTTCAAGACCAGCCTGGCCAAGTGAAACCCCATCTCTACTAAAAATACAAAAATTAACTGGGCATGGTGGTGCACGCCTGTAATCCCAGCTACTCGGGAGGCTGAGGCAGGAGAATCACTTGAACCCGGGAGGCGGAGGTTTCTGTGAGCTGAGATTGTGCCATTGCACTTCAGCCTGGGCAACAAAGCAAGACTCCGTCTCAAAAAAATAAATAAATAAAAAGAAGCCCTGTAAT